TACTCTCCTATTTCGACTGACTTATTACATTCAATTATCGGGCCTGTTCTCCAACTAGGAGAATTTGCCATAGAGATAGTTGAGAGCCAGTCCAGTCTTATTTGTGAGGCAAACCTCTAATGACAATATCAATAATATAATATTTCAGATAATTAATGCTGACAGAATTTGGATATTCCTTGGAGAGAAACGCAGATCTTGCCATTTAAAATTGATTGTATTTTGGGGTGGGGTGGGGGTTGGGGGTATTCACTTCTGTCAAATTTAGATCCTCTTGTAGAAGAATCACATTTAGGTCAAAAATTTCCCCTGTAATTATCAAACACTGGTTTGTCACTAAAAGAATCCAATTTATTCCCCCTAATGGATTCGCGATACACTGGGAAAAATGGATAATTCTATGTATTTTCTGCAATGAAAATAACTAATACAACCTTACAGACACTTCGCTGTATACGACCAATCAAAGTCATTAAGAGGCACCAATTGAGCCAGAAGGCACAATGAGGCCTTGAGAAATTATTAATAAACGTATTTTAACCCGCCTAATGGAGATTAAGTGTGACGAGAAGAGAATCTAGATTATGGTCCATCACATGCAGCACTTGTAATGAATTTGGAAAGATATGAATATCCAGAAGTGTGTAGATATTCAAAGTTATTTTGTACAAATAACAATAAATTTAATATTTATGTGATTTCAAAATTGGCCAAAACTAGGGATGAAATATTCTAGGAAAATCTGATAAGCTTTGTGTCAATATAGTAAGCAATAAATTCCCACGATACCTGTAGAAACAATCCAAAATACATAAAATCTATGAAATTTGTACATGCATTACAGGTAAGCACAGTTATGCAGTTTAAAGTTAATGATTTTGAAATTGCTTGTCTAAGATTAGTCTAGGTTTCTCCACTGATAATTTCTCACAATGGAGTTGAAGGAAAATTAAGTCAATTTTGCACAAACGAATTGCAATACGTGTGGCACGTGATTGACTTGAGAGTTTTAACTGACATTTCTAAGAATGATAGACCATAATTATAATGACCACGAAATCATTAATCCAATTGATATCTGCATGGTATAAAATGAGGCAAATGAGATAAGAAAAAGTTAAATTAGCAGAAAAAATCAATATAATACAATTTCAGTAATTTGAAGCTTACGCGAAGTAGTATTTGCATAAATACTAATTTTTCATTGAATTTTTAGAAAGGATATTTTACATTAAGGTGACATTCTATCTTATCATAATTGAACAATGTCAAAATTAGTGTGCCTCAGCGGCAATGATTAATTGAAAAACTTTTAACTAGGTACACATTAGAATTTTTAGTAATTTATTACTTATGGTGCGAAAGGTATGGATATTGCTTTAATGGAACATCAGGTATCAACAAAATTATCGTTTTATATCATTTACTACAATTCTTTTAATACATCATCACTATGAAATTTTGTGGTAAAGAAGACAAATGTTGTCTTTTGTAACGTCGATGCCTTTGTTTTTCTTAATCATCAATATTTAAGTAAAGGTCGTGGCGGTAAAAAGTTCTGATTATTTCCTTTACATCAGTCTTTACTAATTTGGTCATGTTTGGTAGGCTTGATCTTTTGTTAACTAATTTCTTTAGCTAAGGAAAGCTTTATTCCATTCACACAGGCTTTATACAGCCAATTCAGTTCATCGAGTAAGTAACCTATTCTTAACTTTTTATTTGCAGCTTTTCTTTCATGATTTCACTCTCCGTGAAATATCGTTTTACATTTGATTTAGAAGGCAAATCTAACTTTGTCATTTCTCCTCTGAGCATCTATTCGGCTGTTTCCTTGGTACTTGCCGGAGCTGAATCCGAATCTAAAAAGGAACTTATTGCTGCACTTCGTGTCAAAGGAAACTCGGATCACAATACCTTGTGCAAATCGATTGGTGACAATCTAAAAGCTCTTAATGATGGTGATGAGAAAAAAACACTGGTTCAGGCAAACGCTGCCTTCATGCATAATAGTTGCAAATTACTCGACACCTACTTACAAATAGTGAAAAAACATTTCGACGCAATGACAAAAGAAGTTAGTAGTGTTACTTTACTTTTACTTAAAAAATAGGTGGATTTTAACAAACCAGAAGAAGCCCGTAAAATCATCAATGATTGGGTTTCAGAAATAACCAAATCAAAAATCAAGGATCTTTTGCCCGCGGGATCTCTATCATCTCTTATTCGTCTTGTTCTTGTGAATGCCATTTACTTTAAGGGTTCTTGGAAAGCTAAATTTGATAAAACATTGACACAGGTTGATTGCTTTAAAACCTTGAATGGAGAGAATGTGAATGTTCATATGATGGAA